TGTTTCATATTGTAGTTAGAAATTTAACCTATGCCTTATTGATTTCCAATGAAATATTAACATTTTATTTCAATATTATAGATATATTAACATTATAGAATTTAACCCCCAAAAGATGTATTAGGGATTAACTCTATATTTAATAAAAGTTTTACAGTCCACGTCTCTAAATTCATTTTGAATCTAATATTGAATTTATTATTTGAGATCCATAGATCACTGGTTCTGAGTCCATATTAATTTAATGGTTCTCATAACTTCCTGAATCTTATTATATGTTAGAGTGTATTTCCCCAAAATGCATAGAGAAGGTTTTCAGGCTAGACTAGTACAACATGGACAGAGATCGTCTGATAAAGATAGTGTTACAATCGAGCATGCAAAGGAAGCAATTCTAGCAAGGAAGAGCCTTCTGTACCACGTGGGAGGTTACAGGAAAGTATTCCTCCAGAGGGACATGACGAGGGAAGAGACAGTAAAGGCAGCAGAAGCAAGGAGGAAACACAGGGGGAGAGGAGAGAACCAAGGATCCTCAGACCCCAACTCAACAGCCCTGGAGGTAGGTGTGCAACTCCCAACCAGCACCCCAGCAACCCCAGAGGAGAGGACAACACCCCCATCTTTCTTCCCATAGAAATCCCCCCCACCCTACACTGAACTCTCTCAGCCCTCATTCCAAGGCTCAGTCAACCCTCCCTCCCCCCTAACCCCTTACCCACCCAGTCTCCCCTTCCTCACCCTATACCCTACCTGTACCCCCTTCTACATCACCCCTTACCCTCCCTGCCCCTTTTCCCATTCACACCTTTCGTCCCCTGTCTCCTCCCCCCTGTCATCCCATGCCTTTCTGGTTCCCCCCTCTCCCCTCACCCCATTCCCTCCTTGGCCCCCTCTCCTCCCTCACCCAATATCGACCCTGTCCCCCCACCCCCTCATCCCATACCGTTTCTGCCCCCCTTTTCCTTAACCCCCCACCCCTCGCCCCAGCATCTGATAATACCATGTAAATCATTTCACACGCTCCCTCCCCAACCACGGTTATCCCTGCCATCCCACTCAAGACTCTCCCTGCATTCCACAACCCATGACTTCTCTCCCCCTCCACAAAATGCCCCCTCGGCTCCCCCATCCCATACCCTAAGTGACCCCCAACACCAAACCCTCTCAGCCACATCACCCCAGATCATCCCCACCCCCATGTACCAGAGCGTCCAAACACCCTCTAACCCCAGGTCCCCCAGGTTCACCTTCCTAGGCCCTTCCCCCCCCCCCCCCGATACCCATGGCCCCCCCAACCCCAGGGGGAATCAATAGAAACTGAGGGTGGATAGAAGAGAGTCAGCTTTAAGGTAATGTACGCAAATATAGACGGGATCACAATCAGGGCAAGTGAACTTAGGGAAAGAGCACAAGAAGCAAACCCGGATGTAACTGGACTCACGGAAACAAAAATCTGAGGAATAATAATGAATGCGGTGTTTCCCCAGGACTACACTGTAATAAGAAAAGAGAGTATTAGTATTCACTATGAACGACTCCGACATATGGGAAATCGGTTTCAAAGCCCCTAGTGGGTATGAGTGATCTCAGTGTGCTGGTGTTTGAGTGCCTTGTCGAAGTAAGGTTAAGTTACTCAAGGAATAGCCCAGAACACAAAAGGCCGGCATTCCGGAAGGGAAACTATGAGGAGATACTAATGAGGAGATAAGAAAATTTCTAACAGATGTTGCTTGCAAAAACAGCTCAGAAGAAAGACGGCCCAAGACATAATCGACTACTTCACACTGAAGTGTAAGGATGCAGCAGACAAGTTCGTCCCAGTTCAAAGGAAAAAAATGAAATGGAGACAAGAAACCCATGGTTTAATCACAGATGTAAGATAGGAAAGCAACGAAGTAAAAGGCCATGGAGAAACTTTAGAAATAACCGGACAATAGAGAGCAAAGAAAGATACCACAGTGACAGGAATGAATATGTCACGGTGAGAAGAGATACAGAACGACAATATGAAAATGTCATAGCAAGCAAGGCAAAGACTCAACATAAATTGCTGCACAACCACATCAGGAGAAAAACAACAGTGAAAGAACAGGTAATGAACTTGAGGGTAGGGGCAAAGATATTCATTACAAACTACATAGAGGTGTGTGAAGAAAACAATAAGAAATTCCAGGATGTCTTCACAGTAGAGCAAGGAGAAGTCCCAGAGATAAGTGAGAGAATATCAAACCAGACACCACTAGAGGAGTTTGTGATTTCCAGGAGGGAGAAGGTGAGGAAGCATCTGCTAGAATTACATGTGACAGAGGCTATAGGCCCAGATGGAATCTCGCCATGGATACTAATGGAAGGAGCAAAAGCCCTGTGCCTGCCACTATCCATGGTGTACAGCAAATCACTGGTAACAGGTGACCTACCAAGAATTTGGAAGATGGCCAATGTAGTATCAATATACAAGAAGGGTGATAGGCAGGAGGCAATGAACTACATGCCATTGTCCCTAACTTGCATACCATGCAAAATTGGAGAATGTGTGAAAAAACTAGTGGTACAACTGGAGCAAAATAATTTTTTAACACAACAGAAGCATTTGTTCAGGGATGGCAAGTCATGCCTCACAGGATTAATTGAATTCTATGACCAGGCAAGATAGAGAGGGCTGGGCAGATTGCATAGTTTTGATTGCCAGAAAGTCTTTGACACAGTACCACATAAGAGACTAGTGCACAATCTGGAGATGCAGGTTGGAATGAAAAGGAAGATACTACACTGGAATTTGGAGTACCTAAGCAACAGACGACAGGGAGTCAATGTGAGAGGTGAGGTCTCAGATTGGCGAGGAGTCACCAGTGGAGTCCCGCAGGATTAAATCCTTGGACCAATACTGTTTCTGATATATGTAAATGATCTTCCAGATAGTATAGAATCGTTCCTTTCATTGTTTGCTGATGATGCAAAGATTATGATAGAGAATTAAGACAGAGGAAGATAGTATGAGGCTACAAGATGACCTAGACAAACTGAATGAATGGTCCAACAAATGGCTATGAAAGGTCAACCCGGTGTGTATATATATATATATATATATATATATATATATATATATATATATATATATATATATATATATATATATATATATATATATATATATATATATATATATATATATATATATATATATATATATATATATATATATATATATATATATATGTCGTACCTAGTAGCCAGAACGCACTTCTCAGCCTACTATGCAAGGCCCGATTTGCCTAATAAGCCAAGTTTTCCTGAATTAATATATTTTCTCTAATTTTTTCTAATGAAATGATAAAGCTACCCATTTCATTATGTATGAGGTCAATTTTTTTTTATTGGAGTTAAAATTAACGTAGATATATGACCGAACCTAACCAACCCTACCTAACCTAACCTAACCTATCTTTATAGGTTAGGTTAGGTTAGGTAGCCGAAAATGTTAGGTTAGGTTAGGTAGGTTAGGTAGTCGAAAAACAATTAATTCATGAAACTGGGCTTATTAAGCAAATCGGGCCTTGCATAGTAGGCTGAGAAGAGCGTTCTGGCTACTAGGTACGACATATATATATATATATATATATATATATATATATATATATATGTCGTACCTAGTAGCCAGAACGCACTTCTCAGCCTACTATGCAAGGCCCGATTTGCCTAATAAGCCAAGTTTTCATGAATTAATTGTTTTTCGACTACCTAACCTACCTAACCTAACCTAACCTAACTTTTTCGGCTACCTAACCAAACCTAACCTATAAAGATAGGTTAGGTTAGGTTAGGTAGGGTTGGTTAGGTTCGGTCATATATCTACGTTAATTTTAACTCCAATAAAAAAAATTGACCTCATATATAATGAAATGGGTAGCTTTATCATTTCATAAGAAAAAAAATAGAGAAAATATATTATTTCAGGAAAACTTGGCTTATTAGGCAAATCGGGCCTTGAATAGTAGGCCAAAAAGTGAGTTCTGGCTACTAGGTACGACATATATATATATATATATATATATATATATATATATATATATATATATATATATATATATATATATATATATATATATATAAATATATATATATATATATATATATATATATATATATATATATATATATATATATATATATATATATATATATATATATATATATATATATATATATATATATATATATATATATATATATATATATATATATATATATATATATATATATATATATTCTATTGTATACACCATTTTTTTAGCACCAATCGAAACATTTACAGATAATAATTCGGGGAATAATTATTTCAGTTTATTGAGAACTACCAAGCTTTATCAAAACTAAACTGTGAGCCTTCATTAGGATGTAGCTGATTAATATTATTCGAATGGGATGGAAAATAGTATTGAAATTTCACATCAGAAGTGGGACTGGAAAAATACAATTATCATTACAATTTTACCCAATGGACTATTTTTCTGTCCATGGCAATTGGACGGGTACTATGGGACATACTATGATGCAAGCGGAAGGGCTAGTGCCTGGTGATAGCTAATACACCAGGTTTTTCTACCACAAGAAGGAAAGTTTTCGTTCAGGAAGAAAGAAAAACAGAAAGCTTTCCTGTGGTTTTCCTACCACATAAAAACTATGAACATTAGCAGCACAGGCACTATAAGTGTTATGTGACATAAGTACTATGGCATCCCAAGGACAGGTTGCCCAATACACACCCAGCCACTACACACAGCTACCCTCAACACACTCACATCCACCCACACAAACATCTACAGATCTCTCTCTCTTTATTTTTTTTTCTCTCTCTCCATGCCCAACTTTAACTGGTCGGTAGAGCGACAGTCTCACTTCATGTTGGTCTACGTTCAGTCTCCGACCATCAATAATTTATCCTTTCACTGTACCTTCCAAAAAAATTTACAATTAGTAAAACAAATAAAATACAAATTTACCTGTTCACTGTCGTGCCTCAGGAAAAATAATATCTTATATAATGAAATTTCCGTCCTCGTTCTCCACAAGCATAAACACCACTGATCACTAAATAATCTGGTATGTTCAAGGCTGTGATTCCTCCCCTCTCCCCCACCGTCTCCACCCCCTCTCTACCCCCCCTCCCCCCACCCCTCCTCCTCTCTCAGCTCTCCTTATCTCCTCTCTCCAAATTATAAGAACACTTCACATTTTTTGTCTGTTCAAAAAATAACTCATAATCTTTAATGAGAATTCAGCCACTCAGGTTATTTAAGTTTATAGGTTAAGTATTATGAATAGCAGCAGAGTTAACGTTAATTTGTTCAGTGAATTCAGCTTCATATATTACAAATTAAAATAAGAATAATAATTCAGAACCGAGTCATATAGTATTGCAAGATTTCTCGTGGGAATGACATCGGTACAGTGTTACTTGGCTCTGTTTTCTGTGATACCAAACCAAAATCACCAATGCAATGTTGTTTTCAAAAGGATTTATTTTTTCTTTTGACCACGTTTTTCAGTACGTTTGCACACGGTTTTTTTCTCTATAATTTGTATAAACGTTTTTAAAATTTGAGACTCTAACGTTTTAATAAAAACATGTTTTTATGTTATGCTATAACGTTTTTTATCACTTTCGTTCCGTGGAGGACGTCCCACAAATAAGTTGACGTTCACAAATAACTCTGCGGATGTTCCGTGGTGACGTAGGTGACGTCCAAAATTAAAATATTTGTTAAAAATCCATATTTTATCCGATCATTATGAGACGATGTTACTTTGTGCCAACGTCTTCCCATTTTCTGTTACGGCCCATGTGGCATCAGGGTACCCTGTCCGCTGCCGCTGTAGGTGGGGCCTTTATGGCCCTGTCTACAGCGGCAGGCCCATTGTTAATGTACCGTCACTCGTGACCGCTGCGGCCTCCCTTTGCCTCCAACACTATATATTTACTGCAAGATGAATAGTGATCAAGAATAGTGCCATTCCAGGACGAAAGCAGTGAAAAAAACATGTCTGAGGGACAAGCTAAATAGTGTGCGGCAAAAATACAGCACAGTCAAACTCACTCCAACAAAATTCCAGTCTATATATGACGACTGGAATGATCTGATCTTGATCATGAGAGTGCCGAAAGTGACAGTGATGTAGATAGTGAGTTTGTAGAAACTGAAATAGCAGGTGAGAATGAAACTGAAAGTGAGGGGAGTGATGATTTTGATGATGATACCCCCCTCAGCCACATGTGCAGGATGTGCTCGTACCACTTGTACCCCACGCACCAGTTCTGGAGAGACCTGGTCTACTGACAACACTCCATTATTTATAGACGGTTTCAGTTTCACTTGAACACCAGGCTTCACTGTACCAGTACCAACCACCTCTCTGGGATTTTTACAGTTATTTATTATGTGAGATATGATGATATATATGGTATATGAAACAAACTTGTATGCATCACAAAGAAACGCCAACGCTTCTCAAGCATCAAACTCATGCAATACGTGGGATGAAGTGAGTGTAAAAGAGTTTGCCAGATATTTTGAACTAACAATGTTGATGGGCATTATGAAGTTGCCAGCGATGAGAATGTACTGCAAACAGGTAAATTTGGCATGTACCTTCTTTCAATACTTATATGACTGCGAAGCAATATGAATTGATTTCAAAGTATTTTCATACTTATGTATTTCATACGTAAATCCAAAACATTATACATTCCTCAGAAAGATCTGTGTTTGAATGAAGGAACAATATCATGTGTCAAGCTTCAAGGTTTATAATCAAAATAAATCTGATAAGTATGGAGTAAAACTGTACATGTTAGCTGAATCCCATACTGATTACATCTATGATTTTGAGGAGTATGGAAGGAATTGGGAAGACAACGATTCAAACGGTTATGAACTTGATTGAACCACTGACGAACAGAGGTTACCATTTATATACAGATAACTACTATAACTGTTCAACTGAGTGAAAAGCTGCTTGAACAAGATGTATACACCTGTGGTACTCTCAGACTGCACCGTTGTGCACCAAAAGATCTTCAGCTATATGCAAAGGGTAAACTGGCAGTATATAAAACTATTACTACAGTATCCACTCAATTTAACGGCCTATATGGGGCTGTACCCTGGTTGTTATTTCCGGAGCTCCGTTATTTCCGAAGTTAAGTCGGGTCGGGTAATTTTTCAAGTAACATTCAGGTAGGATATATTTTATACTGTATAACTAAAATTAAATAAAGTTCATTGTGTAATTGCATTCCAATTTAGTGCCACACCGACGATTAAGCCAGTTGTTGGCTGCTGCATCGATGATGTGTGAACACGGTCTGATCAAGCCCAGATGGGTGGGAAAAAATTGATTCATTCCTTTGTAATGAAAAATATTTCATGTATCAATCAGCAAGTTAATATTTTCTCAATATTATTTTAGAGATGTGTTTTGATTTACCCTGAACAGTGTAGGTAATGTATTTTTAATGTTACAACACAGGCTGTGGCGGCCATGCCATAACAATGGCGATCAAGCCTTGTCACTGAGAGGTAGCCAAGACGAAATATTTTGAGCTCACCTATTCTCTGCTGACGATAGAATATACATTTGCAGAGACTAATATGTAGCTTTTGTTGAAAAAAACAATTAATATCTTGTAATACTATAATAAAATTGGTAAATTGACTTACTTTTAATGAAGCTGAAGATTACGAAGCTGTGAAGATTACGTCATCCTCTGCAGCGCTTGTTTTATATTGTTTATATTGTATACAGGGTACATACTGTATGTACACTTATTTTCAGGCATATTTTAATAGAGTATCCTTCTGTTTCTTGATGTCACTTACTGTACTTTTCCCGATGTTAAACTCTGCTGCTGCTCGTGCATGAGAATATCCTTTATCAAGTTTCTTAATTAACTCCAGCTTCTGTGCAACCGTCAGGCGCTTCCTTTGGGTAACTTTTGGCATTTTGTAAATTAAAAAGATCACAATTACAGTACAGTAATATCCTTCACAATTGAAGCTAGCCGCGCGAGTTCACAGTAAACAATGGGAACACATGGCCCGGCGGAGTACATACTAGGTCCGTGGGAAAAAAAATACCTAGTGCCTATACATACTATAAAAGGTATTTAATAAGAAAACAAAGACTTTTGCTTAATAAAAACTGTTTCAAAATATTTTATTAATAATAATTTACAATTTTCTTCATTAAAGTGAATCATTTTAAAAGAAAATTAAGATGTAATATATGACTCTGGACGATCCAGGTCGGTGGCCTGGTCGCCATGTGAGGGGACGCTGATGCCACAACAAACCCAATACCGACCGTCGGTAATATCGACCGTAGACCGGTATAGCAGGCTCCAGATACCGGTCTCCCAAACCGGTCGTTAATACCGGCAGATCGGTATAAAAGAGGCCGTTAAATTGAGTGGATACTGTAATTCTGTTATGACCCCCTGTAGCCTGGGTGGAATGAAACAACCTTTGTGAGAGTTATTCTGCCTTCCGGACCTAATTGAGAGGTCAGAGAAAAGATGTAAATATTTAATATATAATAAACGTTAGTGAATAATTTAAGACTACTAGCAGTGGATGAGCATTTAAATAAGTGACATGAAATGAGATATCGATACTTTGGTGAGGTGAAGTAACGCTAGCAGGAGGTAGAGACCTCACTTGAGCTACAGTAGTCGTCAGAGATGGTTGTACTTTGTTGATTCTCCTGGAAAAGGGAGAATATAGTTCCCTGTGTTAGTGGTGGAGCGAAGGCTACCTGTTTGCAAGTGTGAGGGAGCTGTTGGGAACTTAGTACTCCATTTCTCTGTGATTTTGATAAATTAGAGGCGACCTGGAAATGTGTGTCGGTCGTGCCTTTGTGGAACTCTAATTGTGTTGCTTCTTCAAGAGGAAGGAAGTAAGCAGGCGTTTCTGTTGTGGAGCCTGCTGGGCGACTCTGTGTACTCAAGTCAGGAGCAGAAGAGCTGTGAGGCCGTCTTAAAGAAACTTTGTTGGACGTCTTAGAGGACGCCATCTTGGAGGGCCAGAGTTGAACGCCCTCGAGCTACGAATTCTGCGGTAAGCCGATGTAGCAGTTGTTATAGTGGTTGTCTGTCTTCTTCGTCGAAGGTCAAATGCTGACTGAGGGGCAGAGGCCCCCAGCTTTGCGCCCAGGGCGGCGACCCCAGCAACGTGTCAAGACATATTCCCAGTGTGGACTTATCCAGGATGGAGGAGGACAATCACGGTGACACATTAGTGTTTAAAGAGATGTCGGATGGAAGAGTTTTATTTTCTGTAAATACTTTTAATTATGTTTTGTTAGGAAAACATTTATTATGGCATGATGATGGATTTGCAGGTTTGTGTGGGAGAACTACAACATTTGTGTGGGGAGAACTGCAAAATTTTGTGTGAGAAAAGTTATTGAAGGAACTTCGTACCAGAGGAGGTGTGTGTGCTGAACTCCAAGTGTGAGCTGAAACTCATAGTGGGAGCTAAACTGCAAGGTGGATAGGACTTCCAGTGAGGAGTGGAACTCCATGGACATAGTGAATCCCCAAGTAGTGTAGGGAGCTACACTACTTGAGGGAGTTAGCTGGCTTTGCCCTTGTCCTGGTGAGGTGTCCCAGAAAGCTAGTGAGAGAGAGAGAGAGACACACACAGCTAAAACCTGGGTGATAGTTGACTAAAACTAAGGGGGATTGAGAGATCATTCCAGAGTAAGGAGAGTGCGGGGAGTCACGTCGGCAGCTCGAGAGCGGGTGTGTACTCATGACAACTAGCCAGTGTGAGCCGTACCCCTGAATAAAGGTGACGCTGAATCCCTCTCCCAGAACCAGACGCTTACCAGGGTGATCTCCTTAATAATTGCAAGCAGTCCAGTGTCCGTTGCTGGTCGACTGATCGCAGCAGAAGTGTGGTTGCTGTTGTCGGTCATTTTTCTGTCAGGAAGTGGTTGGGGTCTCTGTTCGACGGTAAGCTAGTATGAGGCTGGTTCAAATAACCAAGGTGTCATTGTATATAAAACCCCAAACCCCCAGCCCCCTTGATAATTTCCACGAAGTGATCATTTCGTCACTACTGAATTTGTA